TTTTTTATAGGAACTTTTCAAAGCAAAGGTTTTATGTTGTCGGACACACAACATTGAAAGTTTCTGGATCCACAACATTGAAAGTTTCTGGACACACAACATTGCAAGTTGATAAAAGCGTTGTAATAATAAAAAGGGGCTGTCTTCGGCTATGCCGAAGCCTTCATACCTTTCGTGAAAATAAAAAAGCCGTCTTTCATCTACTACTTCTTACTGAATTTACAGCGTAAAAATATTCAATATGAAATTACTATTTATTTTTTTTATAAATATCTAATAAATATTTACATCGTACATACAAATTTACTTATGTGTTCAGTTAATTTTTATACCCGAGCGCACTTGTGCACAAGGGTATATTAACTTTGTTCACATAACGGTTGTTTGTAACAGCCAAAACGAATCGAGATAGATATAGACAAATGTATACATAAATGCTTCAGAATACGAAAACTGCGATATTTTAGTAACTACTGAAGAGTATTCACTCAAAATTGATATTTACAATAACTTTTAGACGAAAAATAAGAATATTATACATTTTTGGAAAATGAGCGTAGCCACGCCCACTTATGGTTACATGTGTATATCTTGGTAACCGCTGCACCAATTTCTTCCAAACTTGGCGCAGTTGTTGGCCTTGGCAGAGCATACCAAATAGCCGAACATTTTTAAATTCGGACGATAACCACGCCCACATCCCATATAACGGTAATTTAGAAAAATACAAAATCTTCGATAAATCAGTAAATATTGAAGCTAATTTATTCAAAATTGATGCTTGCAACAATTCTTTACCAAGAAATACGTTTATGATAACATTTTGGAAAATGGGCGTGGCACCGCCAACTTATGATCACATATATGTATCTCGGTAACCGTTCCACCAATTTGAACCAAACTCGGTATGGTTACTGTGCTTGCCACATAAAAGCAAAACGTTGAAAATTATTGAAATCGGTCTTAAATTACGGCCGCTTTTCATATAACGGTAAATTTCAGAAATGCTTGAAACTTCAATATTTCGAAATTTAAGGACGCTAATTTACTCAAAATTTATACACCCTGGCTTACCATTTAGCGGTAGCTTTCGGAAAGGTGAAAAACATATATTTAATACGTGCGCCGGGTATTTAATGTTCGGCTCCGCCCGAACTTAGACTTTCTTACTTGTTATTTTATTCTTTATTTAATTTTTATCTACTACTTTTAATTGTCAAATACATTAACTAAAACAAAAACACTTATGATAAAGTAAATTAAGGTGTTCTACAACAAAGTGTGTAAATACAAAAGTATGTGGTACATTAGAAAATATAATAACATAAATCGCGAACACTAAAAAAATATCCCGTCATGGTCGCTGAATGAGGTCTCATATGTTATCGCCCTTGTTCTGTCTGCAGAAAAACTTGCCAATAACCAATCAATCGCGGTTTGTTGCTTTGTATTAGGAAGATGTTCCAGTAAGGAATACAATCCTAGTTGGCTTAAGCGCGTTCCAAGAACATCATTTGACGTAATGCGACAGACATTTAAGTATCCTACAACTATTAATTCTTCATTATTTCTATTACTCAGCTCTTTTATATCTTCTTCCAATATTCTTCTAAATGCTGATAATGAAAAAGATGGATTTCTGTATACTACAGATGCTTTCCATTTCCAGACAACCGGTCAGGTACGAGCATGATTTTTAATTTCCACCAAACTCAAATACATTGTTTGTTGGTCCAAATAATGAGACACGTATTTTTTCTTTTGGCTCGGAAAAATTTTTCGGCCGAATTAAACGCGATTTTGTTTTTCAGGCAAAAATCGATTATTCGAATTGACAGTGAGAATGTTTTTTTAAAATGCCCATAACTTTGTCAAAATTTAATAGATTCCAACAATGTTTTTACTCAAATGTCAGTAATTCTTGTCACTTCAAGATAGAATGATATAATTATTGATTTTCATTATTTAAAATTTTTTATTTATTAATTAACAAAAAGTGTATATTTTTTTTAAATTTAATTTCTCAAAAAGTGTATTTTTTTTCTCTCAAACTTTTTTACCGAGAAAGAGACACTTTGAACTACAATCAACCTAAATCTGTATTAACGAAGTTTTTTTTCTGAGTTATGATTTTTTATAGAAAATATACGTTTTTGTGGTACATACTACAATATTCTTATATTGTTTAACTAAATGGAACATATGTATGTAATATATCAGCAAAAAGTACAGCGGTGATCCTTTTTTGTGTATCAAATAGATATTAGAACACACTTTCCACCATACAGTTTCGATTATAAAAAGCGGGAAAATGTGATTTTGTATTTCGAAACTAGTCTTGGGCGGACACCTCCGATCCGTTAACAAATGTATTGCCTATGTGTTGTAATTTTTTGCTTAATTGTGAAATTTCCGTCATTTATTTCATCCATGGCTTGTCTTAACAGCTGAGATACCCCTCTATTAGATTTGTTGATATAATTAATTATGTAGCTGCAGAATACATAGGCGTCAAGTATGAACTGAATGTCCATATTTGCTCTATGCAAACGCAAAATATCGCTATTATATGCGTTAAGCAGTTTATCTGAAAATGTCCTTCGTAGAAATATTTGCGGCTTTAAACTGGAACGCAGCGCTAATTTGTAATTCTCATAAGTTGTGGAAATGTCTGGATGCATTAAGAATTCCTCAAAGTTGTTCAGGTTCTCTGCTTCCATATTCTCATTCTGTTGGCTTAAAACATTTTTAATTTTTTGCAACGGAGCCAGGTGTTGTTCGCTTACTTCTGTATGTTACTGTATGATAACCCAAAAAAATTGCAGGAGAGCAACAAATCGAGAGCGCAACAACACGGGAGAGCTGCAAATTCTTACTAGTGAAACTTCTACTAGCAAAAATTAGCTAGCAGAAGAAGAAGAAGAATAAATGTCAAAAGCCGCCATTTGTTGAATTGGTTTAGCACAAACAAAAGTAAAATGAATGGAAATCAAAATATTAATGATGTACTAGACTGTGTAAGTGCTTGTGTGAAAAGCAAAGAGTTTACAACTGATTTATAAATAGAAAAATGTTTAGAGCAGAATATCAAAAGGGTGCAACAACTATTCACTTGCAAGTTTTTACTAGCTTTGCGTTCAGTAACTTTTTCTGTTAGTTTTCTCTTCTTGTCAATTTTACGCTCTATTTAGCTTTTACGCTCTGGCTGCAATGTTTTACTGGAGAAGTTACTATACAAACCTTATGTCTTTGGTAGTCAATAAATTGCTGCACCTCTGGATTGCTTCCATCTGTTGATATAAATTGGTCGACAAATTCCACAATGGGGTCAATATTTATCACACCTTCTGTCTCCAGAGTAGGTGCGTTACTTATTCAGTACATTCCATGACAGTGAGGACTACCTCTGTGTTGGAACTTAATCCTCCAGTAATAATGAATAATCACATGTGGTTCAAATATTTTATCTTTGAGTAGCTTAACCATTCGTCGGAAACGATAATCGAAGTACCGTGAACAGCCGAGCCTTCTCTGAATTTGATAGTTGTGCTGCCTCAGTTTCGGAAATATCCATTTTGTCCACAAGTTTTGTTAGAATCAAATTGACGAATCATCGCTAAAACCTTCTTTTTCTCTGCCTCCCAGTGAGCAGGGGATGATCTGAGACCCTTTAGGATGTGGTATCCCTCGTCATGTTGGACTAAGTTGCTAATAAAATTCCTATCGACCATATTTGCTGCTGCGGTGATGTTGGAGGTTCCAGATTTTTTTCCGCAAACAAATAGAAATTGCATCTTTAACGCGCTGCAACTCAGAATATTGATATTTCCAGAGCAAATTATCAATACGTGCACATCGTCGGTCATATCTGCGAACTTCTGACCCCAATAATTTGCTGTAGTTAAGCGTCGTTCGCCTTTTTTGCCACAAAAAATTGTTGGAAAAGACAATTCCTCTGTATTGTCATCTCGTGTTATATCAATAGGAATTCGGCCCTCTCCAGGGGCTATTGCTACTCGCTCTAATGGAAGGTTTTCGATAAGCTCGTTATCCAAAAGTGTTTCCTGACCACCTGGATTTATCTCATCTTCTTCGATTAGATCTCTTCCAACATTTTCCTCATGGCGCGTCTGCAAATCTCTGACGATATGCTAATCTACCGGATCGGCGATAAAAG